GCAGCCGGCACCACGTCCCTGCGGCCCCTGGGGGAGGGGAGGGCAGAGGGCTCCACACACTGCCCTTGCCTGCGGGTACCTCTCCCGAAGCTCCCATTGGCCACGGTTCTCCATTCCTGGCTAATGGGAGCTGTGGGGGATGGTGCCTGCAGGCAAGGGCAGTGTGTGGAGCCCTCTGCCCTCCCCTCCTCCCCTCCCCCTCTCCCCCCAGGGGCCGCAGGGATGTGGTGCTGGCTGCTTCCAGGAGTGGCATGGGGCCAGGGCAGGCAGGGAGTCTGCCTTAGCCCACGGCGCCATGGGGGTGGCAATCCTGCGGGCCGGATCCAAAGCACTGATGGGCCAGATCCGGCCCGTGGGCCATAGTTTACCCACCCTTGATGTAGGCCCTAACTCAGGGCTTCTCCACAGGAGCCTACTCTGCTCCCTGTAGGTTTCTTCTACCAGACCACTCTCCTTTGTCCTCCTTTCCCTGAAACTAGTTTCCACCTGTAGCAATCTCTGGTCTGGAGACCTACACCAGCTCTCTTTCCAGAGCCTGATGAGAGGAATTCCATCATTGTTTCTCTTCCCCAGGGACCCTTGGCAAATCTACTGTCCACTCTGTGTCCTCCTCCCCCCCTTCCAACCTGTAAAAACTGCAGGACTCCTCTCAAAGGAGCTGCTTTTATCTCCCCCTTCTAGTTAAGGAACTTTTCTTTTATATTGTTCAAGCAACCTCTTTCTAGCTCAGCTGTTCCATTAGTAATTAGTTAAAGGGCACCAGCTGGAGCACTTTATTGCTCCCATGTGTAGCCTATAGGGTCATCCTAGGACAGTTAGGCCCTAATTCTTCTGAAGGGCCACTGGCCCCATGACAAGTGGTATTTGTGTGTTTTCTCCATGTGCATGGATTGTGCTCCTGTTTGAAAATTCTGGCTTATACAAAGGGGAGGCTCCAGGCACCAGCGCAGCAAGCATGTGCCTGGGGCAGCAAGCTGCGGGGGGCGGCTTGCCGGTTGCTGTGAGGGTGGCAGTCAGGCGGCCTTCGGCGGCATGCCTGCGGGAGGTCTGCCGGTCCCGTGGTTTCCGTGGCAATTCGGCGGCGGGTACGATGAAGCCACGGAACCGGCAGATCACCCACAGAAACGCCGCCAAATCCGTGTGACTGCGGACCGCCCACAGGCATGCTGCCGAAGGCCGCCTGACTGCTGTGCTTGGGGTAGCAAAAAACATAGAGTCACCCCTGCTTATACATTTAAATGGAAATTTTAAGGTTATTATACCTTTGTGTATTTTTTAATAGGAAATAGTAAAAATACTCCACTGATTCTCAGCCTGAGCATTTGAAGATATCCTAGTATCTCACAAATCTGAGACAGACGAATAAAACAATGGGTGGTTCGTGTCTGTTTGGTTTTTTATTAGTGAAGGGCTTAAAAAGTGACTGGATCCTGATTTTGAACACCCTGAAACTGAAGTTCAAAGTTGCTTGGATCCCAGGCTTTTATGTGGCTCATTAAAGGGACAGGTACTACATGTATCTCAGATCAGATTTTAACTACTTCAAACTTCACATCTGGGATTTTCGTTTGGGTCAATCTCTTATTATTTATTTGCATTACAGCAGCCCCTTTAGGTCCCAACTGAGAATGGGTCCCCATTGCGCTAGGAACTATAGAAAGATAGAGTATGAGCCAGACTCTTCCCCTTCAGTTCTAAATAGACAAGGAAAGGCAAAGCCAGAGGCATCTCTAGTCTTCCTTGTAAAGTCGTTGCTGCATATTTACAGGTTCCCTATCAGTCACTATGACTCACTGGGCAGAGTCCGGTGGCTGAGCCACTTCCTTTGGAATGTAAAGTACCACGCAACTTTTCAAAGGGTGTACTTTGAAAGGAACCAAGCTGGAGAAGAGGAGGAGAAAGTTGGATTTCTTACCTGTATTTTCGAACTGGCTTTCCGTATTTGAACGCTGGCTGCAGGTGATTAAAAACAAACACCTGGGAATGCTTCCCATCAATTACAAGGTGTGAGCTAAAAGAAGGAGGAGTACTTGTGACACCTTAGAGACTAACAAATTTATTTGAGCATACGCTTTCATGGGCTAAAGCCCACTTCATCAGATGCATGCAGTGGAAAATACAGTAGGAAGATATATATATATATATGAAAGCTTATGCTCAAATAAATTTGTTAGTCTCTTAGGTGCCACAAGTACTCCTTGTTCGTTTTGCTGATACAGACTAACACGGCTACCACTCTGAAACCTAAGGCGTGAGCTGCCTACTCAAAATACAAAAGGCATAACAGGGGCTCTTTTTGTTTGTGCTCCAAAGTGGAGTTATTTGCAACAAGGACGTCAGCGAACCTGTCATGGGAAATGAATATATTTCTGTCCTTGCCCCTGTGCTCAGTTTAACCTGTTAACAGAACGCCGTGGTCCCTATTTGCTGAGCTCGCACCTGCGCTCTGTTCCCGGTTGCAGGCAGCGAAGTGGTGAGTTAGAGATCCAAAGGGAGCTGTCCAGGACTCAAGTATGTAGAGAGCTGTTCACCGAGTCAGTTGCCGAGGAGCTGTCCAGCATTTCAGCACCTCTGCGCTTTCGGGATTGCCAGCTACCCGGGCAACCTTCAGCCCGCACTAACTGCAGAAGGACCCGCAGAAGGAAAGCAGATCCCAGGCGCTAAGGTAAGGCAGAAGAATGAATTTCAAAGCTTAAGACAGAAGCAGATCCACAATTCCAGGCGTGTGTGAGTGAGTCAGATTTGGGGAGAGAAGGGGTGTGTGTGAGAAAGGAAACCGGTAGGCTCCCCTTTAGATGACATGCCCCTGAGATCTGCTGCTCTGCATTGTCTCTTTGTAAATGTGCTTCATAACTATCTTTTTATTTATGTGTGTGTGTGGCGCTCAGTTTCAACGCAACCCACCCTAAGAGGCGAAACGGAGCACGTGGAAGGTGCTTGGGCTGTGAGGTGCCTATTTCCATGTTTTCTGACAATGGGCATTTCTCTTGGTGAGGAAGCCCGAACTTAAGTGTGTGTTTTCCATTGTCCCTGCAAGGAGCTCCGGTGAGGAGAAGAGGAGTGATGGGCAAAGAGGTGGGATGACGAGAGACCTCTCCGGTGCAGGGCCAGAATTAAAGGTCTAAATCCAAGCCAAAGAGGCAGCGCCTTCTAGGTTCACCCCGGAAATCTGAAGCGGGCTCTGGTGCCGGTGACATATACCTCGACCTGGTGTTTGAGCCGAGCTGGGCTAGCTGGATTCAGCCCACGGTTCACTCCCTTGGGGGAGCCGCGGCTGGTCTTTCTTTCCCACCGCAGCCCATGGCTAACTTCTCCTCGCACTCCGAGTCCAACGCGTCCTGCGCGTCCTGCGCCGGCAGAGGGGCGCCCTGGCCCAACGCCTCCGCCCCGCAGCTGCTCCCCGACTTCTACCTGACCGTGCCCATCATCTACTCCCTCATCTGCGCCGTGGGGCTGACGGGCAACACCGCCGTCATCTACGTGATCCTGCGGGCCCCCAAGATGAAGACGGTCACCAACCTCTTCATCCTCAACCTGGCCGTGGCCGACGAGCTCTTCACCCTGGTGCTGCCCATCAACATCGCCGACCACCTGCTGCGGCAGTGGCCCTTCGGCGAGTTCATGTGCAAGCTAATCATCTCCATCGACCAGTACAACACCTTCTCCAGCATCTACTTCCTCACCGTCATGAGCATCGACCGCTACCTGGTGGTGGTGGCCACGCTCCGGTCCAGGAAGGTGTCCTACCGCACCTACCGCGCCGCCAAGCTGGCCAGCCTGGCCGTCTGGGCCTTGGTCTCCATCGTCATCTCGCCCTTCGCGGTGTTCGCCAAGCTCCACCGGGAGCAGGGGCGCTCCCAGTGCGTCTTCGTCTTCCCCAGCCCGGAGAGCTTCTGGTGGAAAGTCAGCCGCCTCTACACCCTCCTGCTGGGCTTCGCCATCCCCGTCTCCACCATCTGCGTCCTCTACGCCGCCCTGCTGGCCAAGCTGAGACGCGTGCGCCTCCACAGCAACGCCAAAGCCCTGGACAAAGCCAAAAAGAAAGTGACGCTGATGGTGCTGGTCATCCTGGCCGTGTGCCTCTTCTGCTGGACCCCCTACCACCTCAGCACGGTGGTGGCCCTCACCACGGACCTCCCGCAGACCCCCCTGATCATCGGCATCTCCTATTTCATCACCAGCCTCAGCTACGCCAACAGCTGCCTCAACCCGTTCTTGTATGCCTTCTTGGACGATAATTTCCGGAAGAGCTTTCGCAAGCTGGTTGAATGCAGGGCGTCCCGCTAGAGCCCCCAGCCGCGGCTGCGCTCCTTTGTCATTTTCAAAGGGGAAAAGCGCATCCCAGGGGACAAGACTCGGAAGCCGGTCTGCGAACCAGCCTTGATCAAGCTTTAGATCCAATGTACTCGTGAAATCAAAGCACAGGCAGGATCCATTTCTTTTCAGTTTGTCTTGCAGCCAGTGGCACTGTGTTCATAGGGGAGGAATGGGGCTTTTTAAATCCACACTAGTTCCTTGGCCTAGTCTCACCCATCACGCTCATTCTTTTTCCTTCAGTAGGATGCTCTAGAGTCCTGGAGGTTGTATATTATGGAGCAGGAGCAAAATCCAACATTTTACAAGATGTTAGTTAAGAATAGCTAAGTACTTTGACATCTATATATATTACTGGAGAACTGTAAAGCCAAATAAAGATATTTTACTGAGTGCCTTGCTTAATGAATCTTAAACCTGCTAGTTTTATATCTGCCGTACTTAAGTTGTAGCTCAGCTTCACTCCCTGACTCTTCTAAATAAATACACCATAATTAAAAGAGCCTTTGCTTTCATAGCAACCTGGTATTCCCCCCTCACCCTCTGGCCTGAGGCGCTTTGTTACTCAGAATCAGATCTCATATTTCAGTCCAGAAGCAGCAGCAATAATGCAGTGCTCAGTGTAAATGCTCAGAGGCTACCATGTATAAATCTCCTTCCCTATACATGAATGATTGTTAAAATTGGTTTTGCATGGAATACTATCCTGCTGGATAAAAGTCAGTCTGACCTTTCTGAACACATTTGAAAAAGAAATCACCATCTGGTTTTAGATCCTGTAGATTAGGCTATAATTCTACATCTTTAACAACCTTTGAAAGACAGATCTCCCAACGAGAAAGAATAAGGGAAAGCATTAGTAACACAACGAAGCTTATTTCCTTTTAGATGGGACCTAAATATGCCTATTAAAGTCTCCTGAAATCCCACTGCTTTTTCTGCACGTAGCAAGGAGCCCTTGCATTGGCTTTAAGAACGAAGAAAAGAGGAATCATAGTGTGTAGAAATATGGATGTGTGTTTGGAGCCACCTTCTGTAGAAACTGGCATTTTCAGCCCAGCAAACTCTTCTATAATATAAAGTTCTCAGTTCCTATTAGGACCAGAATATATGGTTAGTTTTATGTGCAATACATACATTTATGATAGGTTTCTACATCTTCTCAAAAAACGCTCAGACTTTTTTCCCCCTTGTAGCTACTTAAGGATCAGATGTTATTTCAGTATAAATCCTTACTTCAGAGTTAACCCTTTTAAAAGGGGTTCTGTCAAAAACAAATAAAAAACCCTACTTCCATCCCTTAGCAGTCACATGTTAGCTTAACACTACTTTCAAAATAAAAAGCTAACATATTATTCACTATTTTGCCTTCAAAAATCCTCTTTATCTTAACTTGGACGATGAGAATAAAAAGATGAATTTGGCTCTTTTCAGTTTCACCCTTGTTCACATGCTGAAACAGTTCAGGGGAAGGTTGCATTTTTTCCCCCACTTCACTTCTCTCCTACCCCCACAAGGAAAATTGACAGACTTGAAATATAGTTGTAAAAATATTTCCAGGCATATAAGATTTTGAAACTGCAAAACTTTGTGGTCATGTCTACTATTATTAATTCATATTACAGTAGCACTTAGGAGCCCCAGCCATGAACCAGGACCCCGTTGTGCTAGGCACTGCACAAACACAGTCTTGTCTACTTGATTTTTATGTGGCTGAAACTTACTATGTAAAAATATAAAATAGTCAAATGTAAATACCCAGATCATCTTTTGTTTCTAAAACTAGGGTATATAAATCGATATAGATTCTCGTTAGACAAACATCAATCAATAATACTCTTTATCTGAGGAATGGTGAAGATGATAGTTTTTCTTGTTGTGAATAGTAGTGGAGATACAATTTTTTTTAATTGCCCTAATGAAAAAAATGGCTACACTTCAAAAGCTGACAGGTTTGAAAACATATTGAGTCAAATCTTCTGAAGTTGGTATTTACAAGACCTAGTCACACTTTTTCCATATGCTTAGTGACTAAGATATACTAATAACAAATGCTCAGTTAAAGTTACAGTGCAGCATTTATATAAATTTCCCTGTTATTTGGAAGTGTAGAGCTGGTATGATTAGCTGGTTACATTTGTGTCATTGCTACTGATGTATTAAGAGATTACTGTATATGTGCACTGCTTTCAAATGATGCACTCATAAAAAATAATGGTACTGTACATTTTAAAGATGCTCCAGCTTCTTAAATGTAAACGTGTATAACGTTAGCACCCATATAGTTTAATCAGTATAATAAATATTCAGGCCTAAATCCAGCTGCTGCCTCCACAGGTGCATCTGACAGCAGAAGTGATGCATTACCACTGTGCAATAAGGCAGGTCTGGTTTCCAGGGGCCATACAGGGGTCTGCACAAGACTTGCACAGAGCAGAGCTCAGGTCACAAATGCCCTCTGTATGGCAATGCAAAGGGGCCACCTCCAACGCAGCACCAAAAAATCAGTGGGAACAGGTAATTGGGTGGTCTAATTGAAGTCTGGAGGATCTGCTACTGATGGAGACCTTCAATCTTCCCCCTGTGAGCAGGACACAATATGGGGCTTATATGCTAAGTCAATCATTGGGATGAAGTGCCCCTTTTGAAGCCACTCTTCTACCATGCCATGGTTTGGCTTGGTTATCTGGGCTGGTGCTGGGCTAGCAGAGGAGGAATAATACAGAAAAAAATAGTTTCCCCCCAAGAAGACTCTCTTAGAATCTGGGGAAAAAAACAGAATTAAAATATCTGCACACTTTGTGGTGTTTTATTCTTTCTGAGAATTACAGTGCTCATGAAAGTCTGGGATTTTCTATACTAACTATAACCAAGCATTGTGTAGTCTTTCCCTGAGAACTTGGCCATGTCTTAGCACTGAGTAGTGGCTTTCCTGCTACTTCAGTTCTTGGACTTTACCAGAGTAAAGTATAAAGAGCTGTCAAATTATGTGATGGGACAAACAACCACTAAGAACTAATTTCAGATCACCAGCGCCTTTACTTTACCTCCTTTTTTGGAGCATGATTTGAACTCAAGTCAGCAGAAGCAAAAAAATCTAGAGATACTACACCACTTTGGCCACATTTGATCTTTAATTTAAGGAGTATGTGTGAATGTCAACACTTTGATAATAAAATATTTGTTAGTGTAGTATAACTTTAGCTCAATGCTATGTCAATAATTCCTTATACACAGTAAACACATACTAGAGTATCATTCCATTCTTATTAATAGTTCCTGCATGGCAATGGACGAGAGAGGTATGAAATTCCATTTAATCACAGGGATCACTAATAGCATGTATATCACAAAGAGGTTTTTTGTTTGTTTGTTTGCTGTTTGTAAAGGCATCTCTAGGATAAGCATCTTGCTGCAGTGGCTGGGTAAGAGCTAAATGACCATTTCCGTTAGAATGGTCTCATCAATGTAACCACTGACCCTTTCAGTAATCTAAATTGAATACCTTAAGCTAAGCTCAATAGGCATTTTGAAGCTCAAGATTTAACTCATCCCTTTATCCTGTGTGACGGTCCTCGCTCGAGTGTTGATTGGTCAGGTAGTGTTACCTAGTGGTCAGGGGTTAAGCCTGTGACCTGACAGGGGGAAGGGGTTATTGGTAGGGGAGCCCAGTCCCTCCCCCTCCACCAGGCTCTGACCCAGGACCCTTTGAGGGCTATCAGTGATCTGACAGCGGGGGATGCTTAAGGCTGCCCTCCCTCCGCCACTCCCTATCACCATTCCCCTCCACCCCCATGATTGTCTGAAAGTCGACATCTGAGTTAAGGCTGCATGAAGGATGTCCACTCACCACCAGGCACTTCCTGGCAGCTGCATGTAGTGTGGTAGCTCTTTTTTGCTCTTGGGCAGCAACTGCCTCCTCCTGGGGTATGGCCAGAACATTCCTAGGCCTTTCCCCTGCTGGGGCAGTCCAAACCAAGCAAAGAGAATTACCAAAGTCTGGAATTCGTATGAGGTGGGAGAGGGGAATGTTTCCCCCTCAGGCTGTCTCTGCAGCAGGTCCTTCCTTCCCTCAGGAAAGGATTTATGGGCAGCTGTCTTAGGGAGAGATTCTAACTTCCCTCAGCTCTCCTCTGCTGGAGGAGCAGGTTGCAGGTCTGCTCTCTTCCCTGGGCTGCCACCAAATAAGCTGCTCCACTGCCTTTTAACTCCTCCTCCAGTTGGTGCGTTTCCTACAGGTGTGGTGGGGATAGGGCTGGCTCAGCCCAGAGGAGTTCCTTATCCCCTTGTTGCCCACCCAGTGTGGAGTTTGTACACTCCATCAAACCTTGTTAGCAAAAATTGACTTCACTGTGGTTGCATAGGTATAGCTAAGTATGGAATGTCATCCTTTGATATTACAATCCATTTTTTAATGGAAAGTGAGGCAGTCTCCATGTGGTGAGCTTCTGAATTATGAATTTCCATTGAGAGCTGGTCAGAAAACCAAATTTACATTCCATGGGAAATTCTGACATTTTGAAATTTGTTTTCATTCTGCATCAGAACAAATTTCACATTTCTCACAAAACAGAAATTCTGAGAAATTTTGATTCAGACACATTAAAATGTTTCATTTTGATAGCAGCAAATTGACATAATCAAAATGAAATGTTTTGTTTTGATAGGGTAATTTTTGTATAGATACTGTCAGCACATTATGTATACTCTATCATAATTAATACTGTATAACATACAATTTATGATATAAATATAATCAAAATAATATTTTAAAAGTCCAGATGAAATGAGAAAGTGAAAACAAATAATTTAGGCTTTTTTCCCCATAGAAAAATTTGTGAAAATCAACAGAGTCCCACCAGACATTTTGATAAAACAGGTTTGTAAGTAAACAACATCTTTCAGAGAAAATTCATATTTTACTAGGTCTATTTTAAAAGCATTTCCCCTTACGACTTTCTCGGTGATTGCTG